CCCCTTGTGTGTGTCCTGGAGAATAAACTCAAGTGCTCTTAAAATGCAAAGCAGCCTCCTATGCAGCCATGTGGAGGAATAGAGGCCATATTTTAGCCGTACTCCCGTCAGCAAAATGTTTCAGGAGGAAAGCTAATTCTACTGTGAGACTTACAGCTCCGCTAGGCGGGCAGACAGCACTCGATGCTATCAGGATTAAATTAAGGTGAATTAGAGACAAACAGGCAGAAAGAGGGGGAAAGGAGATGGTGTTAGGGCAGGATTTTCCTCCAGCTGGGTGATCACTTCTTGGTCCTAGGTCATTGATCAGAGCAGAATAAACCAACTGGGATTAAAGTAGACAAGCACAATACCTGTAGTGTGTGTTTGCATTGTGCTGGGCGGAAGAATAAGTGTTATGGAGTAATGGAGAAAGTTTGGTTTAGTGTTTAAAATGCTTAACAGCATTCTCTCAGCTTTTCTTTGGGGAATAAATACAAGTCTCAGTATCTAACACGTCAGGTTCTCAGAGTGGTGCAACATCCTTTCTTAGATTAAAAGGATAATTTGTAGTAACACCTGTGTTTTCTCAGTCGGGCGGAATTTAGCATACAACCTTTTCAATTTCTGCAGCACTGCACTTCACACAATAAGACGTCTTTTCTTTTGAAATGGTAATGGGTAAATTTCATTTGTTTTTAAAATTACGACTATAATATGTGATGTCATCAGAAGCCATACTTTCAGAATACATTAAACCATTTGACTCCTTTTGCTCCTGCCGGTGTTACAATTTGCATCCTGCTGTAAACCCACACCCCAAACGGCCGGCCCCCCCTAGTATGGTTTAGTCCCCATTGAATTGAAATTGAATTCTGCTTTCCAGGAAATGAGGTTAATCACAGTTGATTCATGATTTATCAAGGGGGGATTAGTTTTTCACATAGGGCTCTAAAAACTGTATTTTGTATTTACTCTTGCTCAGGCCCCAACAAAGGGTTGGATGTCACAAGGTAGGATCAGTGAAAACATCATCCCATGGGCAGATGGGATAAAAAAAAATGTAAAAAAATACAAGGGTTATTAGGACTAGCATATCAAACCGAAGGTTCTTTAAATCAGTGGTTCCCAAAACCTTTGTCAGGGCCTCCTTTGAGTATATAGGGACCCCCCAACCCTCCCGAACAAAAAAAATATACAGGGTTACTTCTGTTATGATAGAATTCAAATGTATAAAATAAGTACATATCACTTTACTTTTCCACTTAAGAATTTATTTTAAATATTAAAATTGAAGCTGGGAATACTGAAAAAACTTATTTCCACATTTTAAGTATGTTTTTTTTTGGCTATGTATCTCTCTCTCTGCCTCTTTGCTGCATTCATCCGCTTGTAACCTGAGCCGCTCTGGGGTGCCTGGTTCCAACACAACCCATGTCAAGTCCTCACGTTGGCCGTGTGTCAGGGTTGGCGATGAAGCCCCCCCCCCCCCCCCCCCACAAACCCCTTTTTTGTGTTTTAAAGAGGGTGGTGTTTTTCAAAATGTGGATATATGTCCCCCCACAAAGAGGGCCACCGATGCCCCCGAAAGTCCCCATATAGGTTATCCTACCCCCTGACTCGGGGTGAAAACCCGTGCCTAAAAAAATTTTTATTATTTTGAAGTGGCCTTCTTCCGCCCCCGCCCAAAAAACGTAACTATGCCTCTATCGAATCAGAAAACCGCTTGCCCACATGCTTTATATGAATGAAAATAAACCTCCACGAAAAAAAAGATACTTGGAGCGACAATGCAAAATATACATCCGGAATAAGAGGAGGCACGCCTGCAACTAAGAAGCGGTGCGAGGATTTGACAAAGAAAATTCAAAATGTGGAGGTTATAAAAATTTTAATTCGGGCCCTTGGTGTGGGGACCGGGAGGATGATCTGAAGATTTTAAAAACCCTCATGATTGTGAGGTGAAAATGTGTGCGTTTGTTTCTGGAATCATCAAGGACTCATTATTAAAGCGTTCAAATGTGCAGTTCTCAGCGGTAACATAGCAGCCTTTATATTGCTCATGAACACTAATTAGAAGGAGCCCTCTTGGAGCGGTGGGTGAGTAGCACGCTCGTAACGCTAATCGCTATTATGCTGCTAGACTGGAGTGCGTGTGTGTATCCTTGGCTGTTACACACACACAGCAGCTACAGACAAATGTTTTGTAATATGGTGCATCTTGGCAGGCGCCTCCCCAATAAAATGGTTTGGGAAACACTGCATTATATTAGACAAAAACGTTCATCTGGGTGGGTGTGTGCATCACCCACCCAGATGAGCGCACACACAGCATGCACACACACGATGTACAGAGTCTTGTGTTCTGCATTCTAGCCCTGCTAAAACCTCACCAGGAAATCAGAAAACAGAACATGTGCTTGGCTGATAGCAGTTCATCACACACATACTCATAAATACTGTAACAGGAGTGCAAAAAGGATATGCAAAGTATCAAGGCTGAGTCAGTGCCACTGTTTAAGGGTCAGCTCAAGAAGCTCGCCACTCCTCCATTTAAAAAAAAAAAAAAAGAAGAAAAAGGGCAGCTCTCTTATTTGTTGGAGTTCGAGATATTAGTTCATGTTTTATAGGGAGAGCGTTCTCGGAGATCGAAGACGGGGAGATGGAGTCATGATTATTAATTTAATTTTCTATAGCCCCAAATTCCTAATTAGTCTCAGAGGGCTTTACAGTCTGTACATATGCCTTCACCCTCACATTGGCACAGGAAAAACTCCCCAAAAAATGAAAAACCATTCAATGGGGAGAAACCTTAGGCAGAACGGCTGAGGAGGATGCCTCTCCCCTCAATACGGTGCAGTCAGCCTGTCACAAACTAGAAAATGATTGATATCAGCTCCACTTACCGGTCTCTACTCTTTCGCTCTGGAGAGGTTAGGGAGAAGCGACTCCACTCACACACAGTTTTCATTGATCAGAGTCCCTCCTGAACATCTATTCATCTTCCTGATAAGGAGATCGGCTCCAGGTGTGTCCTCTCCCACACCTTATCCCAATGCTACCCTGTCAGGAATGTAGATCCCTCACAAGCCCCTTAAATTGGATACATGCAGACTTTCATATGGACACACTGTAGCTGTGTCTCAAAGTCGCTAAGCTGCATCCTTGGAGCCTCCAGCCTTCACCAGCCTTCGTGGTAGACCTGGGCTGGGTCCTTCAACAACCGCATAGGCTGAACCGAGGGGTCTCTGAAATGGGACGGTCTGGACTTCCTGCTTGTGTCTTCAGATTTACCTCCACTGCTCCCACTGCCTAGCAACCTGCTACGCTTGACAGTAAAAGCTGAAAAAGAAGAGAAAGATGGTCTTCTTCTTGTTTCATTTAATTTAGGAAGATATGCTTCTCCTCCAGAGCACGATATATATTATTGTTTTATTCAAATTAAATCAGTTAAGCCATGTACTCTTGATAAAAAAGACAACAGCAAATATATTTATAAACTTGAATGCAAGGACTTTTAATTTTATTTATTTATCTATCTTGCATAGGATACATGCTATTTTAACTGTAACTTGAGATTTTACAGAATATGTCCAAGCTACAGTAGCTGAATTTCATCACACACATCGTTCTCCTTCAGCTTGATGCTTCTTCCTCCTGGCTCCATAAAACAAACCTAAATGTAAAGTTAGTTTATAATCACACAACAAAACAAAAGCCGCAAAGCAAGTTTCTTTGTCTGACCGCAGAGAGCCTTCACATCTTCCGCCGCAAACTAAAGACACACCTCTTCAGACTCTACCTCGACTAAAGACTAACAAATTGTAGCACTTAAATTGTACTTGTAACGTCACTCATCTATAGCAAATTGTAAATTGGCTTATTTGAGGAAATTGCACTTTCTTGTTTCTTGTTCTCCTGAGTTTGTACCCTATGGTTGAATGCACTTATTGTACGTCGCTTTGGATAAAAGCGTCCGCTAAATGACATGTAATGTAATGTAATGTATTTATGCTATAACGCTACTGACTTACAAAGTGATAACTTGTCTACCTGAGCTCACTTTGATCCATTTCTGTTCAAAATATAAAGTAAACAATACATAAACCGTCAAAGCCTCAGGATGTTAGTCACCCTTCTAAAGTGTGAAAATTGAGGCGTTAAAGTGACTTTTCACTAATAGCTACAGACTAGCTGCCGTTAACATCGCAGCGGCTCCCGGTAACATGAGCTGCTTGTTGTGTATTTATTATAAATGTGTGTCAGTACATTGATGTTCAGAAGAAGCAATAAAAGAACCCTGGGGGGATTCAGGTTCGGGGACAGTCTGCAAGGGAAGGGGGGCAGCATGACTGAGTTAACGTTATAACTAAGAGCAGTTTATTTTAGCGTCATATATGTATTTAAAAACACAACATCGGTTACCAACGTCATGTACCTTAAGCCTTTCTTAAAATGAGATGTAGTGTTCTATATTATAATATAACATTTCGGTAGATGGAGTTATATTAAAAAGTGAACTCTTCCTCGCTGTCTGATCAACTGCCTCCGTCCTGAGGATGCAGCCTAGCGGAATTGGGACACAGCTACACACAGGCATTGTCCTCCCCTGGTCCCCTATACCAAAGAGATCATACAACCCTGGGTGAGGAGAGTGAAGGAATGAGGATAAACGATACTGAACCACGGAGCATTTCTGTGCAGAAATGAGTCTACGAATGGTGCATCGGATCCCTCATCTCACATTTATTGGGGTTTTTAATAGCTTTAGATAATTCTCTAGATCCCTAAATGAAGGCCCTGACGTGTGTTTTTTTTTACATTCAGAGTTTGCATCATGCTTAAGAAATCATCGCAGCGCTGTTTTGTTGCATGCTTTCCTCCTGTGATGGGGATGTGTTTTTTCCACCGTCGATCCAGTATCTTTTCTGGCTTGTGGTGTATTATTATTCATATCTGCATGTAGACAATGGGTTTTCTAGTTTGATATTAACATTGAAACCTTACCTACTCTTCTTCAGATGAAGGCTGCTTCAGACGGAGAGGAAGAGAGTGATGATGATGATTTTGATGAGGTTCCAGAAAAAGAGGGATATGAGCCGCACATTCCAGAGCATCTACGAGCTGAGTATGGTATGGAGTATGTTGAAGTTAGACTACACGCACAAACACACAGACGCACTTTAAATCCACTGACACGTGCAAAAATAGTGGGGTTAAGCCACAAAAGGAGACCTGCTGCTGCCCTCACCCTTCAAGATTCACACACACACACACTCTACAAACAAACACATGCACTCAGAAACACTTCAAAGATCCACACCTGAAAGCTTTTCAAATGGTTTATTTATTCGAGTGTGTGTCTGTGTGTGAGATATCACGGCTAGACAAACATATGGTCTGATATTTGGTTTGGGTGATTTTTCTGGAGCTTTTACCATGCGTGGTTATAGCAGGGCCCAAAAATAACAATTTTATCAATGCATGTTGTCCAAAACGGTAAAAAAAACACTTTTCCTGCAGTGAACTCATTTCTAAAGTTAACCATCATGCAAATAATTGACTTCTAAATTAAATACATTTTCATATCATATGCATTTAATGACAAATCAACGTTTGTATCTGTAAATGTTAGGGCTGTCAAAATGAATGCGTTAATCTATGCGGTTAATGTGGCCGTGATTTATGCGTTATTATTTTAACGCAGTTAACGCAACTTTGTTTGCTTCCGGTGGGCTTGAAGTAAACAAAGTTGACCCAGGAAACGAAACAGTAGTTGAAGATGGAGAGCTTTTAGCACTCTGTAAAACAAAGAGTTCCGACATACAGCGGAAAAATTCCTCCTTGTGTCAAAAAGAAGGCGGACGAGTGGCAAACGAACGGACCACTCTACACACTGCTAAGCTAGCTACTAGGCTACTTCCATCTGAATATCTACCCTGCGCGGTACACAGTCTGCAGAGGACCACCACTGTGTCCTCAACTGGTTCGGAAGACATTCTGGCTAAATGTGGGGAGATTGTTGGCCCTTCAAACACAGCCGTCAAATGATGGAGAGTTGAGAGCACAGCAAACTGTGCAAGCACAGCAGGAGTCGCTAGTTCATGTTCCACCCGGTGGAATTCTGCCTCGTAGATGATCAAATGTGTGTATTTTGTGTTTAAAATACAATTAAACAACAGTGTCTAAAATTACAGTACACAATATTGATATCATATAAGTTTATGCAGTTGCTTATTTACAAGCCCAACTGTGTCCAATATTCTCTCCCCCCTGAGGAAAATGTTTGTCTTTAGCATCTAAATGGTCCACGAAGTTCACCAGGTGGTCTATACGGTCAATCAGAGCAGGATAACTCAATCAGATAGAGTGTATTTAGACTGTAAAACCCAAACAGTGATCTGAAAGATAGAATGCCCCGTAGAGCTGGTGGAGATCTGCATCATAGGGGAGTGAGCCATTTAACATTAAATCCAGCCATATGAGTGTGAAATTGCAAAAATGTTCATCTTACTTTTGGTGTGTTCATCCTCTCCAGTTGATATCACAGTGAAGGCAAGGGGCTCATAGTCCTTTTAGCGTATACACCCAAGAACGCAAAAAATGCATATGGCATAAATGCCTATGGGCCTAATCAGATGACTGTGCAGACGCACTGCTATCTATGTTTTTGGGTCTGATTTCAAATGCAGCAGAGGCTTGTAGTTGACCGATCTGTCTGTATTTGATTGATGTGGCCCTGTCAACACATCCATTTACCTCCACACACATAATCCTCACTGGCCACATATAGTGTGGTGTGTGGTTCTTTGTTGCACCGGGGTTGCATCTAGCGTCCGGGTAACATTTGAGGTTAAAGGTGAAATTTTTAGGTCTTGAACAAACTACCTGCTTATCTTATTGCAGCAACGTCAGCTATTTAGCAACATGTTTTTTTCTAAATGTTAGATGGAATTTGAAGGATGTTTATATCATAATCAGTAGCTGTGTTCGGGCTCCAGGCAACAGTAAGCAATAAACTCTCAGAGAACTGCTCTGTCAGCCACATTCAAGCTTCTCCCTGTCATTCATATAGATTCATATCTGAACTTGTGTCTGCATTAATGTGTCTTTGTTAATGGCATTGCAATAGAAGATGTCGACAGTGCTGTTATTGCTAGGTCAGCCATGCAGTTTGTGGCTGACAGGTGGCCTTTGACCCCTTTTGAGTACTCCCCACAGGCCTCTTGAGTCACAACATTCACACTGAGCCGCTCTTACCTGTGAGCCTGTCTCTCTGCTCTCACCTCCCTCTATTACTAATCAATTAGACGCTGAAGTAATTAGATGGTATCTGATATACCCCAAACAGGTGTGCGTGTGTTCCAATGATTAGTAGGCATGTAACGATCTACAGAGGCTTTATCAAATTAACAATGCAACCTCTTTAACGAGTTCCTATTAGCCTAGACCTAGACCCCCCCCCACCCCCCCACCAGCCTGCACATACACACCACCGGTCGACTGCCCTACGTATCCATTGGCTCATTTGGTTGCTTCTTTGATTGGTTTTATTCTTCTTTTTGTACATTTAGGCACGGTTGATTTCCAGCACTTGTACTGTAAATTGAATGAAGTGATAATAACAATGGTCTTTATAAAGTGAGTCTGCTATATTGCGCTAATTAGAAATAAATACTAATGTGAACAATTCCGAGTACCAAGTCTCTAGGATTTCATAAGGTCTGAGTATTCGGCTATCTTGTCAATTCTTACATTCTCTCACTTTCTCATTAGAATGGTCTTCCTCTGTCTCTTATCATCTCAGCTAGTGGATCACAGTGGATAACAATGTAGACAATCATCGTTTGTCTACATTTCCTCTCCTAATTTCTTCCAGTTTTCATTCATTCAGAGAAAGGCTGGCTGTTTCTCCTGTTTTTTTATCTACATCTCTTCCTCTGTTCCTCCCCCTCTGTCGTTTTCTGTCATTCGGATTATCAGTCTCTTATCCCTCTCTGCTGTCAGGACACTATCTCTCATTCTCAAATTAACATTTTAATTACAGGCCCTGCTTAACCCGAGAAAATCAATACCTCTTTTTGCGTTTCCTCATTCGCTTTCTACCCCTTTCTCTTCCCTGAAACCCCCTTAACCACTCTTTTCTCAGTCTTTATCCCCTCAGACACACGCACACACCAGCACACCTATACGCATCTCCTCCCATTGATCTGTGTTTCCTAACATCATCAGCGTGCAGACAGAACTCGACATGAGGCAGTCTGAGAAGGAAAGATGATGAAATCAAAACAAGAAAAAACTAGTTCAGTTAACAGGTTAAGCTCAGCTTGAGTTGAGTGACATAATTTAATTAATGTATTTACCCAGTAGAGTGTGCTATTTGTTGTGTGTTTTACATCCATCTCAGACACATCATGATATGACAAAAACAGCAACAACATCCTCAACAAATGTATCTTCATTGAACTCCGCGGAATGCTTTGTGAGTTTGTCAAGCCTGAGGGAGTAGTTCTCTAGTAGTTTAAGTTTAAAACAGTCAAGCAAATTCTGTATTCAGCAAACCTATTCCTTGTGGTTTATTCTAAAATTAAATACCCCAACAACCTTCTGTCGTAACTTGTTTGAGTTTTTTTTTTGTAAGTATTAAAGTGGTGGAGAAAATATCTTAAGGCCATCATCCTGTTGAAGCAGAAAGGTGGGTTAAAGTGTGCCAGACAAATCCTTTGGTCTAGTGTTCCATGGCGCGATTGAATCTGTGAAACATCCAGGTCAACCCTGATAATGTGTGGGATCAGCTTTCTGCTTCCCTTTGATCTCACCTGCTGTGTGTGTGTGTGTGTGTGTGTGTGTGTGTGTGTGTGTGTGTGTGTGTGTGTGTGTGTGTGTGGTGTGTGTGTGTGTGTGTGTGTGTGTGTGTGTGTGTGTGTGTGTCCTACTTAGTACCCAGAGAGACCCTGGTTACCCCAGTGTTCGACCTCACCGCACGCACGCACACACACAAGCAACAGCCAATGGCTTTCCTAACTTCCTTTTGTATCCGCCAACAGAATTCTGTTGAGAATAGTTCACCCTGAAAATTGTGATAACCAGCCAAAAGTAAATTAGATATTCTTTAATAAGGATATACAAATGATTGGTTTGGTTGGGACAAATGTTTCATGTGGGTTGTCATAATTTACATTTTGCTTTTAGTCTTTCTTTTTTCTTTTTCTTTTAAAGGATAGCAACAGGCCAACAGAATGGGTCCCATTTCACCAGTGGGATCTCACCTTCCCCTTGTCTCTGTTGGCAGGATTGGATTCAGCTCCTTCCAACTCAACACCACCAGTCCCAAAAAGAGCTCCACTGCCTCGCTCCTCCTTCTTTTTCGCTTCGTCTTCCCAGCAGCTGAAGCGCCTTACAGAGGAGTATCAGGATCCAACATGTGCAGCGACCACAATACGCCACTTCAAACAGAACCGTCCCCTGCCTGCACAGCCCAGGTACACTTAATGAGTAGTGCTGTCCCTCTGCCATCAACCTCCCCCCATTTCTCATCTGTGACCTTCTCTTCTCCCTTTACCTCCTCCTGTTGCAGGGTACACCTGCCTTCTCACACCAGAAGTGTACGTTTACTTTGTTACAACTGTTGGTATTGAAACTTTAACACATTTCCTTATAGGAATGTATTGCTAAAGTCTTCCTACCTTTTGTTGTAAGGCTAAAAAATGTTGTCAGTTTAATGGCGTTACACCCAAAGCCTAGGAATTTCACCTGCTAGATCTGCTATCTGCTAGTAGGTGATGTTGAAGTTAATGCACGACACACACACACACACACACACAGACTTGGGAACTAATCTCACAAAAGGGCGAAGAGAGGCACGGATCTTATGGTCGGAGTCAAAGTTTGGCGTCCGTCGTCTTTGTTAAACCGAGTAAAGTCTGTGTTACCGAGCAATTAGTTTGTTGAGCGTCGATAAGCCTCCAGGCAGGAGATCCTGAAGCGTATTTAGACCTTGGAGAAAGATTCCTATGCCTGTGATAAAGAGTGCCTTCTGTAAAAGTAAGGCCCGGACCGGAATTACTGGACTGGACGCACATGACTCTGACACTCCGGTAAAGCCGTGAGAGACTAGTTTTGTTCTGGCTGATTATTTCGTTCCTTTCCTGGTGTGAACTTCCCCAAAACTGACTGAACTGTAAACAATATGATTGTCAAGTGTCTGTCACCTTATAAAGTTTTGTTTTTATATCATTACAAAGCTAGCTCTACAGATGGGTGTTTGACTCGTGCATACGCAGAGCAGTGCTACTGTTTGATACCTTATGCAGGAACTCCTGAAGTCCCTTTTTTAATATTCGAGTAATCAATTAAAAACTTATTTTAAAATAATTTCCCTTCTAAGCATCAAACCCACCAGTTTAATCTAATTCCATAGGTGCAGTCCAGATACTATGAAGGTTGTCTTTTTTTTTTTTTTCAAGCCACTAAATACTTAGCTGGCTGTCAAATTTGCTCAAAAATGACGTTCGAATATTCGCGTTAAAAAGACAGATATTCGAATATATTCGAACATCTGGTTGCGCATTAGACACGTCAATAACAGGACAAATTAATAAAACAAGACATAATTACTATATTACTGTAATTTATTTAAGTTTAAACCGATTTAACAACATATTGCCTACACAAACATAAGCAAATTAACGGCCAAGACCGCAGACCTCTTGCTCGCACACACGCACTCTCTCTCTCTCTCTCTCTCTCGCTCCCGCACAGTGGCGCTCTCTGCGCGTAGTGGTTTAAATGAACGACAACAATAAACAAATGCTGTTGTTTTTTTACATTCGAAAATATTCATTTTCACATTCGAATAGTTGTTTTTAACAACTATTCGAATATATATTTGAATATAGAATATTCGTTGACAACCCTACAGTTGACCACAAACTCTTCATTGACTTTCTTTATGCATAAAGTTTGTTTAACTCTCCCTCCACTAATCTCCCCAACAGCTGCTCCTCCGGTCCCAGTTCATCTCAGTCCAGCTCAGATCAGAAGGTTGTTGATGCTCCTGTGGTTCCATTTGGTTTGGACCTGTACTACTGGGGCCAGGAACAGCCCAACGCTGGCAAGATCATCAAGTAATGCAGCACGCACGCACGCACACGCACACACAATGTGCTAGTGATAGACACTGTGACACGGACAGATATACACATGACTATAGGTAAAGGACGGTGAAATAAATGCTAATCCATTTTCCAAAACCAAAACTAAATGCTTTTCTCTGCTATCGTCATGACTGAAAATGTTTCAGGCAGAATCATCTTTGTTGATTCAGTGGTAGGGCAGGGTCGTCCTACTATCAGAGAATTGGTGGTTTGATCCCCGCCTCCGCTAGTGTGTTCTCGGGCTGGACGCTTGTGTGAATGTGTATGAATTGTTAGATCATGGAGCTTCATGGCCTCTGCTCTGAAAATGGCATACCATGATAAAAAGTACTTTGTCCATCTGGACAATTTTAGGATAAAGGGGCACCCCTTTGGAATGTTCCGATGTGTACAAATCATTTTATATGTTACTGGCGAAGAAATCAATCAATACAACACCCAGAAAAAAACTAAAGAAAATAAAAATCTCTAACAACCCTCTAAGTGCTGAACAAACATGGAGACACCAGAGTAGAAACACATCTAATGTATTAGCCCAGTGTGTGGAGAGTGAACACGGAAAGTTTCACGTTGATGGAGTACTGAAAACAATTCTAGAGGAGGCTTTTGTGCAGTTCCTCACGGCAGACAAACTGCAGGAGTCAGAATCTGATTTTTGTCAAAGTCCGGCTGTGTTTGCATGATCTCCCCCTTACAACCACTTTTTCGAATTGTCTGATCCTATTGGATCCAACTAAACCCACGCTTCCTTACCTACTCAGAAGCCAAAATGGGTAGAGCGTAAAATGACACTGTCTAAAGTGAGGAAGTACTAAAATTGCCTGTAGTTGTTTCGAAAGATGTGAAGCATTCATATACTTGTTTGTGACGATTACACAATATTCCATTTGGAAGTTGGTTCTGCTTGGTTTGAAACCCAAATGGGAGATGCTCGAGTGAAATTAAGCGCTATTAAATATACCAGCTCTATGTTTAAAAGGTCAAAATTACCCAACCCACTGGATCCTATGGTGAACTAGTAGGGGTGTAACGATTCATTCAGTGAATCGATTAATCGATTTATATTCCTGCAATCCAACTGAATCGATCTGTGCTCCGCAAATCGGCATTCCAGACGACATATATCGATTACAAATCGATTGAAATGGTACATAATCGATTGTATCGATACTTGGAAACTGCACATTGGATTTAAGTACACGTTAAACGTTACTCGATTCAGTCTGCCTGTCTGTGACGTCATGAGTACGATGCGGGAGTCGCGCGAAACTTTGAACAACAACAAAACACAGTGTAGGAGCGGTCGGTAAAATCAACGCACATTTGCTCGTATTGTCACTTTAATATTCTTTTATTCATTGTTCGGCAAAAACAACCTAAATCACACTCATAATAAACGGAGAATTCAATGCGTAATGCGTAATGCGGTCAAAAATAGTATCTCCTTCCGCTCTCAAAATAGAAAACACGCCTGGTCTTACTCAGGTGACATTTAAATAGCCGACGCCCCCTGACGTCATCATTACATCATCACAAATAAATCAACAGAAAAGGCAGTTTCATTATGCACAATACAAATGTAGTGGAATGGCTTCTACACTCCGGCCCCTAATTGACCGGTATAGGACAATTCATACATTTAAACATATGAAGCACATTCTTTAGATTCCTTTGTCTCGTGTCCATAGAATTAAAGCAATGGGAGGTACTCTCGTATCCAGCGTTTCCAGAAGAGATCTGCTATATACTGAGTCTGCTTCCATCTTCGTCTGGAATAGGTATCACTTTTGTCGAAGAGTCCAGGTGGAAAAGTCTGCATTCGCTTCATTTGAAGCAGGTGGTTGGGTGTCAGAGGTTCTGTCAGACTGTGATGGGCCGGTCATTCATGATTGCCTCCACTTCACATAGAGCTGTTTGGAGACTCTCGTCATCCAGGATCTGTTCCCTTGTGATGGAGTAGAGGTTCTTTTTTATTATCCGGATGAGTCGTTCCCATACGCCTCCATGATGAGCACCATAAGGGGGGTTGAATGTCCATTTGATACCTTCAGCGTGCATCGAATGCTGGATCTTGCTGAGGTCAAGGTGTGTAAGTGCTTCATGAAGCTCTCGTTCAGTCCCGACAAAATTTGTACCGTTATCGGAAACAATTTCTTTCACTTGGCCTCGTCTGCAGATGAATCTTCGCAGTGCAGAAATGCATGAGTCTGTTTCCATTGAGTAGGCCATCTCCAGATGTACGGCTCTGCTTGCTAGGCACATAAACAAGGCTCCATATTGTTTTACTTTGCTGCGGCCATGCTTGACTTCTATGAGCCCGAAGTAGTCTAGTCCTGTATGGGTGAAGGGCGGCAAATCACAAGATTTTCTGTCCTGTGTAGCGGTCGGTCGGACATTTTTTGTGTCATTGCTGTGCCATGCCATCTCCTGCAAAGTACACAGTCCCTTGTTATCTTTCTTGCAGCAGAATTTACTCTTAGAATCCAGTATTTTGTCCCTGAGTTTTGCGATTAGTTGATTTCTTCCACAATGAGCCATCAAGGTGTGGGTGTGGTGTAGGAGTATCTTTGACAGGTGGTTGTCCTTGGGTAGAATAGCAGTATGTTTGGTTTCCTCTGGCATTGCCAGCTTACTTAGTCTGCCTCCGACTCTCAGGATTCCATGTTGGAGGATAGGATCTAGTCTATAGATCCTACTGTTTCTCTTTATCGGTAAGCCCCTTTGTAGAGAGGTCACCTCATCTTTGAAGGATTGTTGTTGGACACTTATTAGACACAAGTGATTGCTCTGCCTTGGCTAAATCCTCCACGGATAGCTGCGACCCAGTTGGGTATGTGTTACTCATTTTCTTTCGTCTCAGAGTTTCTTTGAATTTTAAGATCCAGGCTGATGATCGGATCAATTTGTTCCATGATGAGAAGTGCTCAATAAAACGAGTCAGTGGCCTTTCATTCTGCAGTATACTTGTAGTGAAAACCATGGCCACCTTCTTGACCTCCGGGTCACTGTCATACAGCGTGGGTGGTACTTGAATCACTGGCCAGTCAGTTTCCGGTTGCATCAGGAAATTTGGACCACTCAGCCAATGTCCTTCTTGAATGAACTTCTCGGTTTTTATGCCTCTTGATGCCATGTCTGCGGGGTTGAGTTCTGTCTTTATGTGGCGCCATTGGAATTTGTGTGTCAGATCCCGAATAGTGGACACTCTGTTGGCTACATAGGTTTGAAACCTTCTGGCGTCATTTTGGATGTATTTTAAGACAGCGGTACTGTCGGTCCGAAAAACTGAGTCCTCAAGGGTTAACTCGAGCTCTCTCCTCAACATCCTGTCTATCCTAGCAGCGAGAACTGCACTAGCAAGCTCCAGACGTGGAGTTGTCACCACCTTTAAGGGTGCAACTCTTGATTTCCCAATCACAAACATTATGTGAGGTAGTCCAACTTTACTGCCATGTTTCAAGTAGCTGACTGTACCGTAACCTCGCTCACTTGCGTCGCAGAAGTGGTGCATCTGTGCTCTAGCAACTTCAAAATCTTGTGGCTTAAGGCATCTCCTGATTCTTAGGCTGGAAATCAGGTTAAGATCTTTTAGCCATTCCGTCCATCTCTCTGTGTAAGCAGTTGGTATTGTTTCATCCCATCCACAATTTATCTTGCACAGGTCCTGCAGTATTCCTTTCCCTGTCAGCATGACTGGCGCTATGAACCCTAGGGGGTCGTATACAGAGTTCAACACCGATAAAATGCTTCTGCGGGTTACTGATGGTTGTTTTGGGGTGATTGAAAAAAAGAAAGTGTCTGACTCAATGTCCCATCGCATGCCAAGGGCCCTTTCGATGGGCAATTTGTCTTTGTCGAGGTCTAGATCTTTGACTTCCTTTGCTCTCTCTTCCACTGGAACAGAGGCAAGGACTGCACGACTGTTACTGGTCCATTTGGTGAGTTTAAATCCACCTGTGGTGCAGACTGATCGAAGCTCTTTCACCAGACGGATGGCTTGGCTCCCGTTTGGGACAGATTTCAGACAGTCGTCTACATAAAAGTTTTGACGAATGGTGTTTAGAGCATCAGTGCTACACTTTCCTTCGTTGTCATCAGCTGTCCGCTTCAGTGCAAAATTGGCACAGCTCGGTGATGAGACTGCTCCGAAGAGATGCACCGTCATCCGGTATTCTGCTAGCGGTTGGTTGGTGTCGCCATCTGGCCACCACTGAGGATCTGAGGAAGTCCACATCATGCTTTGGTATTCTTACTTGATGGAACATTCCTTCAATGTCCCCCATCACTGCCACTGGTTCCTGTCGGAATCTGAGAAGTACACCCAATAGTGTGTTCGTAAGGTCATGACCCGGCAACAGCTCACGATTTAAGGAAGTTCCTTGGAATGAAGAGGTGCAGTCGAACACCACCCGGATAGTCTTTTTTCTTTTGTGGTAGACACCATGGTGAGGAATATACCACAGTCTTCCGTCTTTCCGGGAGAGTTGTTCCTCTGGCACTCTTTCTGCATGCCCTTTCCTCAAGACGTCTCACATGAAGCCATTAGTCTTTCCGAAAGGATTCGTCTTTCTGGAATCTACGGGCAAGATTCAATACTCTTTGTTCCGCCACCTTCCTGTTGTTTGGCATACTGATGTTATCCTGACGGAAAGGAAGTCGTATTTCGTAGTGGCCATCTTTCCTTTTGACTGAGCTGTTCATCACATGCAAAAATTTCTTGTCTTCAAATGAGTGCTCTTGTTTTTCATTGTAGGCCAACTCTGAAAAGTCCTGGTTGTATTGGTGTCTTAGAAGCGCTTCTAGCTTGGCTACTGATATTCTATTGGACGCTATCCGTGGTCGACCGTCCTCATCCACAGGTGCAGTGCTGCAGAGAGGTCCATTTATAGTCCAACCTAGGTATGTAAGGACTGCATAGGGCCCCTTGCCTTGGCTATTGATTACTCTCAGTGGTTCCATAGCCTGTGGGACATTTGTACCGATCAATAGGCCTACTTCTGCTTTGATGGGTTTTATGTGGACCTCATTAAAGTAAGGAATTCCTTTTATGTCCGTTTCTGTAGGGATGTTTTCTTGATTGACAGGAATGGCATTTTGTGTGAAGACTTCAGGAAGCTCTATGAAGCTGTTGCCATCCAGGCTACATACTTCCAGTCCTCTTATCACGTGGGTTTTCACAGGCTTTTCATGACCCATCGTTCGGAGTAAGATTTCGGTTTCAATTCCTCTGACAGACTGTGACAAAGGTAACAGTGCTTCCGGGATCTAGGAATGCATACGTCTCTATCAAACAGCCGCCTTTGTGTGCCTTTATTCTTACAGGTACCACTGCTAATCTATGATCTGTTGTTCTGCCCCACTTTTGTGCTGTTGATGACACCATAGCAATTTGTGCTGCAGAAGAAACCTTAGCCATACTATTGCTCCTGGTGTCTGAATCCCACTTAGCTACCGGCCTATTGTTTCCTGGAGTAAAGTTATCTATATGTAAGACAGTAGGGTGTTTTTTCTCACAGGAACGACATGTGAGACGTTTCTTGCATTCTTTAATCATATGACCTTTGACCAAGCAGGCAAAGCAGAGTCCGTTTTTCTTTAGTAGCTCAACTTTCTCTTTGTGGGGAATCTTTGTTATTATTTCACATGTTTCCATCACATGATCTCCGTTACAGAAAGCACAAGGTTTGATGAAGGCGTCCATGGGTTTACGGATGCCCTCTGGCCTCTCCGGCCTCTCCTGTGCATTAGTGTTCATGTGGGTTTCTGTCTTGGGCATGACAGTTGTAGCAAAGCTTTTCTTGCTGCTAGGTCTTGTATACTGTTGGTCTCTTTTGAATGTTCTGCTGTTTGTGCTTCCGGCAGGGTCTTGGATATCCCCGAAGACGGGATCTTGGATGATTCTGACCTGCCTTTCCAGAAAGAGGACAAGGTCCTTAAATTTAGGTCTCTGGTGTGTTCTTTCCGTTATGTCACACACAGTAGACCATGTCTCTCGGAGTTTAAATGGGAGTTTGAAAACAAGTCTTTTCATGTTAGATGGTGAGTCCAACTCTTACATTACCACAGAACTGCATTACCACAGCCTTTTAGATAGAGGGCGTAGCTATGAAGTGCCTCTCCATCTGTACGGATTTGGTTCCAGTTTAAGGCCTTTTCGATATATGCAGAAATTACTTTGAAATCATCACCAAAGTGATATTTAAGCAGGCGCTTTGCTTCCTCATAGCCAGTTGTGGCGTTCATGTGAAAGCAGCTTTGAACTAGCTCCTTTAGCTGTCCAACAGTATACTGTTCCAGAAAGTATAGTCGGTCCTCATTACTGTTCCTCGATGTTGTGCTTAAAAGCCTTCATAAATTATCTGAAAGTGAGAGGATTGCTGTCAAACATCGGCACCTCTCTTTGGGGGAGTTTAGACTCTTTCTGCTGTATCACTAGCAAGTCTGTCAAGTCTGTCTGTCTGTCTTTGTAGAATGTTTGTGAGATCTATGCTCTGAGGTGTTTCACTTCTGGGTGTGGCTTCGCCTCTTCTGCATGGTCCGTCAGAAACCACAGCTCTGTGTGTGTGAGGGTTTGCTGTCGCCCTTGGTGGTTGCTCAGGTCCTTTTGAGATTCCAGTCAATGTTGGATTCAGAGTATGCATTATTACTTGTAAGGATCTTTTCGGTATGGTTCCTATCCGTGCAGACTCCATTTGTGTTAGATCTCCTCTTTTGTCAGATGCCTCAATCTGTTCTTCCATTTCTTTTCCGGATTCTGAGGCTTCATCACTTTTAAATTCTTCTAGAGCCTTTAACCTTGCATCAGCTGCAGCAATATCTGCTTCCAGATCCAGGGATTCCATTTTTAACCCCAGCTCAAGCTTTTCCTTGTCCAGTTCGTGTTTCCTTTTCAGAGCTTTAGCTCTGGCCTGTAGAGCAGCTTTGTCTGCAGCTATCTTCATGCGTGCTGAAACCATAGATGAAGAATTGGAACCTCTGGAGCGTCGTGAGCCAGTCTGTGAGACACTGTCCCCAACATCCACCAGAGTATGTGGGTCGGGCTGAGCCCTTTTCCATTGATCCACATCAGTCAGAAAAACATCATAATCTGCGATTTTTGGCTCATACCAGTCCAAACTTTCATTCCTTCTCGCATCCTCAGGCAGCAGAATCTGAACAGATTCATGACACAATTTAAATTCCTCCAGCAGTCTTATAAATTCATTTGCACTTTCATTGACATTATGAACATCGGCGCCTTCTTTCATCATTCATTTTATTTCATTCATTTTCCGAGTACAGTGGGAGAGTTTTCAGCTACAGCGCGCATACGCTCGTTTACCGGTGAGATCGGATTCTGGCCGTATTCCAGATCAATCCAAGACAACGTGACTCCAGGACAGCTTCGCTCACTTCCACCTTGCCTGGCGTTCCTTCCTCGCGTTCGGATGAGCGTATTTTTGACTTGATGTAGGAGCGGTCGGTAAAATCAACGCTTGTATTGTCACTTCAATATTCTTTTATTCATTGTTCGGCAAAAACAACCTAAATCACACTCATAATAAACGGAGAATTCAATGCGTAATGCGTAATGCGGTCAAAAATAGTATCTCCTTCCGCTCTCAAAATAGAAAACACACCTGGTCTTACTCAGGTGACATTTAAATAGCCGACGCCCCCTGACGTCATCATTACATCATCACAAATAAATCAACAGAAAAGGCAGTTTTATTATGCACAATACAAATGTAGTGGAATGGCTTCTACACACAGCGTGGAGGAGACGACTGCGAGCAAGACATTTACAAACCAACTTATTGATCCAGCGTGTGGAAACATTTTGGCTTTTGCAAACACGGAGGTGTTCTAAATAAGTCGGTCGCTGTTTGTAGAATATGTAGAAGCCAAATAAAAAACCACAGAAACACGACGAATCTTTCCGGCTATCTACTAAGGCGCCGTGGGATTAAACAACGCCGACAGTCAGGCACCTCTAGCAGCGTTACCGCTGCAGCAGCAGAAGGTAACTCCAGCTCTGCAGACACCTCAGGAACTCGCCAGTCACAGTAGCAATTTCCAAGTTTATCTGTAAAGACATGCGACCCTACAATTTGGTTGAAAATCCGGGGTTCTGTGAATTGATCCAAACATTGTGTAATTATTGTGTAATGTTTACATTGAAAATTGCACTTGATTCAAATAAAAGGTTAATACATTTGCCATTAATTGTTGTTTATAATATCCATAATTAATTTAAACCTGATTTCCTTACAAGAAACAACAGGGGTCTCAGAAACTTTGCCTGCACTGAATCGAATCGAATCGTTCTAAATTAACCCAGATCGTCCATGAATCGAATCGGCAACCATGAATCGCGATTCGAAACGAATCGTTGTTAAAATGAATCGTTACACCCCTATGAACTAGGTGATTTGTTCAGGCTGGTGGTCGAGGATACTCGCCTGGCCGTCTCACTGCCGTCCGTCCTGATGTCTACCCCCCCTCTTGTAACTGCACCCAGCAAAAAAGCCACTTGAACGAATGCACCCATCAGTAACATCAGTTAATGGCAGATTTCCTCTAATGAATCATGGCTCTTGGTAAGGTGCCAGGATGGGTTTTGATATCTTGGAATCAATCTATAGTTATAGGGGTTTGGTAAGTGGACTAGGTACAAGAATAAGCATTCAAAACTATGTTGTTGTTAGGCACACAGTATCACTTGATTTCATCCTGACCATGAAATGTATTTTCTCCAGCTGCCATGCAAAGTACTTGCCAGTACTTTGCCAGACAGCTGGCCCTTTTTGCTAGAAGGACACCCCCCTAAAATTAGCCCTCGCCCCCTAACAAAGTTTGGAACATGTGCATGTGACGCTCACATCAGCAGACAGAGCGCACCAGCGAACAGACTACTACCCCATAAACAGAAATGCCTTAGGGTTCTGAGACTTGTACATAACTTATGTCATTTCCTTTGTGCAGGATGTCCTCACAGCATCAGTTCTGGGTTCCCATTGATGTGGATGAGGAGGTGGAAAACAAGGAGCTCCTGGCAGAGAGCAGGAGTAGATTTATCTCCTTCCCTGGGAGCTTCATTCCTGTCAAGCATTATTGCAGTGCGCCACTGGACAATGGAAAGCTCTGTGAGAGACAGGACCGCCTCAAGGTACAAGGAGCAACACAAAGGGATTTACCAGATATTTACGTATTGCACTACTCTCAGTGTGTTTGTTTGAGCTGTGACTTTGTCCTCCAGTGTCCATTCCATGGTCTGATTATTCCCCGAGACCAGGAGGGGCGACCCTGCAGGGAGGAGGACCGACTGAGGGAGGAGCGGGAGAAGAGGAGGAAGCAGGAGGAGCAGCCTGGTGAGGAGTAACACATGCACTCATATGTATGTGTGTATTTATATATATATATATGTATATATATATATATACATATATATGTATATATGTATATGTCTCCTCCACGCTGTGTGTAGAAGCCATTCCACTACATTTGTATTATATATATATGTATATATGTATATATGTATATATGTATATATATATGTATATATGTATATATACAGTGGTGGCCAAAATTATTAGAACACCAGTCGGATCTGAAAATATTGACTTTTTTGCCTCAAACATGATTTTATTTCATAATGTTCATGAAACATGATGATGTTTCTCTGAGCACAACAAATAACAGATGAAGTGAGTCCTACTGTTTTTATCCACTTTTAACTTGTCCACCTTTTGTATGAATTACAGCAGCACATTTCTCTGGCATAGTGTCAATATATTACATTACATTACAGGTCATTTAGCTGACGCTTTTATCCAAAGCGACTCACATGGCTTTTTACATTTATGCCCAGGGAGCAATTAGGGGTTAGGTGTCTTGCTCAGGGACACTTCGACATGGGACATGGAGCAGCCGGGGCTCAAACCGGCAACCTTGTGGTTCCCGGCGCACCTTCTCTACCCCTGCGCCACATCAACCTCGTTGATATATTTTCTGAGACCTTCCACACTCCATGTCATCCCATGCCTTCTGCAACTCAAGCCAAAGGCTTTCCTTTGAATGTACAATAGATCTGTCCAGTTTATTTTTCAACTCGCCCCAAATTTCCTCTGTGGGGTTGACGGGGCCAGTCCATCATTTTCAATGTTCCAGCAGATTCCTTCTGTCGAAGGTAGTTCCGGCAATAGTTAGAAGAATGTTTTGGGTCATTGTCCTCTTAAAAAATAAATCCAGGCCCAATGAGATGACTCCCAGATGGTACTCCGTGCCGCACCAGAATGTTGTGGTATACTTTCTTATCCATGATGCAGTCAATTTTCACTAAGTCACCTGTTCCTGAAGCTAAAATGGCACCCCATACCATAATACTGTTGACAAGAGACTCATTTTTATATCTTCCCCCTCCCTCCGTCCAACATACTCTTCGCTTGTTGCCAAACTGTTCAAACTTGGACTCATCAGTCCACAACCCTTTACACCAATCTCCCTTCATTCATTTCTTGTGTTCTTTTGCAAATTTCACTCTATTTTTCTCCCTCAGTAATGGTTTCTTTGCTGCTATTCTGCCAACAAGTCGTTCTTCTCCCCGTTTCTGTCGCACAGTTCTTGAAGACACTGTTGTACCATCAGTCATTGTGGTGTTGATCTCATCACACAGTTCTCGTGAGGTCTTTCTTCGGTCCTTATGACTGAATTTTGAGATGCTTCACCTGAATGTCTGAAAGTTTCTTTTGTCTACCTCTCCCTACTTCTGGTGTGAATTGGTGGCATCATGGCGGTCTAAAGTGTACTTTACAGTGCTTGGACTGCATCCGTGGCTATGCGGCGGTAACTCCCACCAACATCAAAAAGGGCCTTTATTCGAGCCTGTTGCTCACCCATTAGCCCCTTCTACTTCTAGAGGCTTTGAATTCATACCAATTGGTAGTGAACCCTGATGTTACCAATATATCATAATATGATTATAATATCATATTTCATATATAGATAAATCATATATATCTCATATATGTTATTAAAGGTTTGTTGATATCCCAATGAAGTTTGTAAGGGGTGTGGCCTAATGGTTCAAGAAAAAAAAAAAACTAATCGCACGTCATGAAATTCATTAAGCTCAATTAATGGTTATTAATGAATGTTGTTGTTGTTACAATGTTGTTTATAATGAATTTTTTTCTTCTTCTAAAGACTAAATCTTAAACGTAATGAGTAATCACTTTAGAAAGTGTATTTTAGACACTTTTTGTTGTTGTTTAAATGTTATTTTAAACACAAAACTACACACATTTGAACATATTGGAGGCAGAATTCCACTGGGTGGAACTAGTGACTCTTGCTCCTCCTGCTGTTCTTGTGCACTCTCCTTTCAACTGGCCAACAATCTCCCCACATTTAGCCAGGATGTTTTCAAACCACAGACTTTTAGGGACACAGTGGTGGTCCTGTGTCCCTACTGACTGTGTGCAGCGCAGGGTAACGATGTAAGATGGAAGTAGCATAGCACCTAGCTTAGCCCAGCAGCTAGCTTAACATTGCAGTGCTTTAAGTGGTCCGTTTGCTACTCCCCCCTTTTCGGTTTGACACAGAGTAATTCCTCTGCATAGTTATCTGCTGTATGTCGCACCACTGTTTGTTTTACTTCCTGTAGATGCTAAGCAAATGCTTTAAGCCACTGAGGCATTTTGTCTGGAAACCCTAATTGACGCGCCGCTGTTGTACCATGAAGGAGGAATGAGAGTCCTGTAGCCTTTGTGTTACGTTGAAAATTAGTCCATTTATTTGCCAACTTATTCTTGTCATACGTTTAACATACATCCACCCAGCGCGCGGTCAAAAACTGTTTTTCCTATCCCGGCTGGAAACACCTGCCGAGCCCCCAAAGGTTCCTACCCTATATAGCAGGGGTGGGCAAACTTTTTGACTCAGGGGCCACATTGACTTTTGAAATTTGACAGACGGGCCGGCCGGTATCAGATGGATAGAGAGTGTTTATGTCAACCACTATCAATTATAAGTAAAAGCCAATAACTAAAAAGTAAAGTGAACTTACATTTTCACATTACATTGCATTTCAGTGGGAACAGTGTTGTTGGTCCCCCTTTTTTGCCAGTGCATGATAGTTTGGTGTGAGCTTTGTTCTGGCAATTCTCAGGACAGATCTGAGTTGTTCATCCGTTAACTGGGTTCTGTGGCGTGATTTGTTGGTTTTCATCACACTGAACGTCTGCTCAACCACCTAAGTAGAGCCAAACAACCCCAGCATCCTCTGTTTGCAAACTTGGCTTCGCTTAGTGAAGCATAGAATTCAGCCAGGTTAAGGGGGTTGAACTTCTCCTTTAAGACAGCGTCACATTGAAGATCAATGAGTTCCAATTCCAAGTCAACTTGGCTTTGAAGGATCTCACTCTCTCATTTGTGTGCATTTTCATGCACAAACTGATCTTTCCCTTGTAGCTTCATGTTCAGCTCATTCATGTGTGTCAGTATGTTCACAGCAAAAGCAAAAAAAAGGAAAACCATCAGCTTTCCCGATTGTTATACTGAGCGCACAGGGCGGCGCAGTCCCGTGGGTCTGATGTGCGTTTGTTTTTGCCGTATAAAACGGACCACGTCTCTGTGGCGCGCTTGCCTGTGGGGGGGTGGAGGTGAGCAGTGCAGACAGCAGCAGCTGGACTCGCAGCCTGATGCGGTGCAGAAAGCACGGCACAGCTGTCCTCTGCCACACGGCACGTAAAGACCGCTGTAACGCGTCTCCGTTCCCGACTTGAGTTAAGAAACATCGATGCTGGTCTTTTGCCGTCATCGTGCTTTGGGAAACTCAAGTCGGGAACGGAGAATTGTTACAGCGGTCGTTGCTATAATTTATAATTCATAATACTCGGCGGGCCGGATCAAAACGGCCAACGGACCGGGTCCGGCCCACGGGCCGTAGTTTGCCCACCCCTGCTATATAGGCTGACCCGCCCATCAATCAGATCTTGACACACATCATAATGGCTCTTACACTTCCAATGCAAAAAGCTCTCTCCATCTTGATGTAACTGACTGAGCTAGCGGCAGTTTAGTTTCCGCAGTCATCGAACAAATGTTAACTACGTTAAAATATTTTTTTGCATTAATCTAGGCCACATTAATTGCATAGATTAATGCATTAATGTTGACAGCTGTATTAAAGACCTCCTAACTTTTTCCTGTCCTCAACAAATCTCTAGGATATGTTTAGATTGTGTCTCTGAACATACAGAATATTTGAACATTAGCTGAATATTTGGTTGTTTTTTCCAATTTCCATTGTATTTTGGATTTACAAACGAACAAACTCCTCTGAGAGTTTAAACCCGATCGATTTCAAATTCAGGAAAATTTACCCTGACACTGGCGTGGTCAAAAGTGATCAATATCATGGCCTGGAATCTATGTTGGTTTAACTCCAAGGAACATTCTTATTTCTTGCCAAAATGTCTTATTCATGATGCTGGTGTAGGCTTTAAAGTAAAGTAAAATTATAGCGCTACCTATTGGCAAAGGGAAATGCAAAGGTTTTACACCTTTATGTGTATCTCCTAGCCATTTAATTTGTGAATATAATCCTTAAGACTTTGATCATAGTTCACAGTGAATATTGGGAGTTTTTGAAAAACTTTGTTGCCGCGAAAACACAGTCTTCAAGCAGATACTTTTGTGCCATGGCAATCTCAAAAACTCTTCAAAACATCTGTCAGGAAAGCTGAGTGTCCCCTGGCAGTTTTCAATGAAGCAGCCCCAGCGCCTTGTTGGACCAACATGACAATGACAATTATGATTATGAAGTATGACAATTTTTTGACTTATGTAGACTTAAAGAAAGTTTCTTAAAAACAACAATTGATGACAATTCTAAGGTTAAAAACGAGCTGCTGCATTCTGGATGAGCTGCAGAGGTCAAATGGCGGTAGCAGGGAGACCTGCAGGAGAGAGTTACAATAGTCAATGCGGGAGATGACAAGAGCCTGAATCAGTACCTGCACCGTCTTCTGAGTGAGAAGGGGATGTATTCTTCTGATGTTGTAGAGCGTGTATCTACAGGATCATATTGTCGGTGTAATGTTGGTCAGGAAGAGTTGGCTGTCAAGTGTCATGTCGAGGTTCCTAGCCGTCAAGTCGGCGTTAACACAGAGTTGCAGTCTGGTCCTGGGAAGGAGAACCTTTTCCCGGAAAGAGAAGTAGTTCAGTCTTGTCGGGGGGTTGATTTTCAGATTGTGAGCGGACATCCACAGAGAGATTCAGTTAGACAGGCAGAGATCCGTGCCACCACCTGAATGTCCGAGTGAGAGAATTAGTTGGGTGTCATCGGCGTACCTCTGTGTTACTTCTTTTTTTTCTCTTTTTGGCCGCGTGTCTGACCGCTGCCCCCCCGACATGCAAGGGGAGGCGAATGCCCGTTCATCGCTGCTCGCAGCTTTAATTATTATTTGAAATGTTTTCATTCTCGTATAAGTCCACCTCACAAAGATGTTCTTTTAGACGGTATTCATACCATAGTCACAGGAAAAATGAACCAGAGAATCAATAGGTTCAAAAACATTTCAATTTTTATTCACACAGAAAGCTCATGTCTATGCCTTCCACTTTTCTTTTTTTAAGTTAAGGTAAATCCCTACAAGCCAAGCTTTAAATGAAAGGCAACATAGAGAAAACACCTTATTTGTGAAATGATTTCCGTCCTTACCATGACAAATTGATCAAGTTGTAGAAACATCTCAAGGATGATCGGTGGAAACAGGATGCACCTGAGCTAAATTTTGAGTGTCATGGCAAAGGCTGTGAATACTTATGTACATGTTATGTTTTCGTTCTTTATTTTTAACAGATTTGCAAAAATTTGTCATTATGGGTTGTGTGTAGAATGTTGAGGAAAATAATAAATTTAATCCATTTTGGAATAAGGCTCTAACATAACAAAATGTGGAAAAAGTGAAGCGCTGTGAATACGGATGCACTGTACATGCCATATTTTGGGAATTTTAGGATATGATGAAGCCCCCAAAAAGCCAATTAAATATTGAGAATAATAATAATAAATCACATGCTTGTGTGTCCACCAAATGCCTGCAGTGTCTTGTTAGCTCTTAGCTGTATGTGTGTTTGTGTAAGCGTGTGTGCGTGTGTCCAGGGGCAATGGCATGCCGTCCAGTGAATTGTGAAATAGCAGCCTTTTTTACCAACTACACTATCGAGTTCAACTTCAGACCCCTTCACTATTCAGTCACGCACAAATAACACTCACACACACTCACTCATGTATTTACAGTAAGATTAAACAGGCAGTAAAGAAGAAACAAACTTAGTTGTGTTCTATTGCTAGTTTCACTTTAACGCTGATTTTCAGTTCTTAAAGCCCCCAACATAAAGATCAGATTGAAATGGACTATGTGTTAACTACTCAAAGACACAAGGCGAGAGGTTCGCCGGTGCATTGCAGATGCATTCCAGACATTTAGCATGCTAAATATCTGATTGGTCAGGGACTTAAGAGCTCAAGACCCATTGAGGGGAGAGCTGACTGATGCGTCTACTCGCCTGTAACCTACCATTTGGTAATATGTGTTTCATTCACACTGCTTTGAAAACCATCAAACTGACTATATGTGTAAGGGAAGTGCTAGCAGACAGTCCTGCTGTTTGGCTAAGGAACCCATTGAACACAAGGGGCAGCGTTAGTAGGTGGGAACTTAGTGATGGAGTCACTGTGGGGGTCGCGTGAGCCTCATGAAGCTCCTCACTGACAGATGAAGAGAAGCAGCTGTTGATATGATCAAAGCAAGCACATGGCTGTGGTGCAAAGGAAAGTATCCATTACAATTAAAAATAAAATGCGAAATAACTTATTTGGCTTAAGAAAAAGAGCTGAGTTTCTAATGGATTATTCAATGTACACACAGAGTATGTTTTCACAAGATACCTAGATCTGAGAATGAGGGTAATGTATGTTGAGTGTGTCCTTTTTCATATTAACATACGACGTATTGGCAAAATGGAAAAGCTATTTTCAAAGTTGTACTCTCCTGTGTAGAAGAAAAAATGTTAAATTCCAAATGAAAATATATAAATGTAAATAGATTTTAAAACATGTTATTTTGATACAGTCTGCCTGTCTGTGACGTCATCAGTACGCAGCGGCAGCGTAAACTCAGAACAACAACAAAACACAGCGTCGAGGAGACGACTGCGAGCAAGACATTTACAAACAACTTATCGATCCAGCGTGTGGAAACATTTTGGCTTTTGCAAACACAGAGGTGTTCTAAATAAGTCGGTCGCTGTTTGTAGAATATGTAGAAGCCAAATAAAAAATCACGGAAACACAACGAATCTTTCCAGCCATCTACAAAGGCGCCGTGGGATTAAACAACGCCGACAGTCAGGCACCTCTAGCAGCGTTACCGCTGCAGCAGCAGCAGCAGCAGCAGGTAACTCCAGCTCTGCAGACACCTCAGGCCTCGCCAGTACGAAACTCAACATCACAGTAACAATTGCCAAGTTTAGCTGTAAAGACATGCAATCCTAAAATGTGGTTGAAAATCCGGGGTTCTGAAGTATCGATACAATTGATTATGTACCATTTCAATCGATTTGTAATCGATATATGTCGTCCGGAATGCCGATTTGCGGAGCCCAGATCGATTCAGTTGGATCGCAGGAATATAAATCAATTAATCGATTCAGTGGATGAATCGTTACACCCCTAATTTTTGATAAACTAATATTATGAATTACATTTTCATGTTTACATAATCATTTTAATTAATTCGATGGACTTCCATCAACCTGTTTAATGCAGGGCGAGTGTGTTGCTTTAGGTATCGATGATGATGAACCGTCTAGGAGCTCCAGTTTGCGTAACACACCCGTGAGCTATTTTATTTAACGTTTGCAGTAGAAAATAAAGTTCACATCACTGTATTCCACCAGTCCTCTGTACTAAAAGTAATAAGTGCTTTTCTCTGTAATAACCAGTCACACCTGCAGTGGCGTAATACCATTGTAACATGTTGTTCAGGCCGCTGTGCTGACGGCAGTATTTTTACTTCTCTTTTTTAATCTCACCCACGGATACCAAACATGAGTAGATGCTCCACTACTGTCTGGACACACACACACACACACACACACACATATCCATCCAGATCCTTCTGCTTAGTGATGCGTAGCTGAGAGACATCTGAACAAACCAAAGACCCCAGATGCCTTTGTCGATGTGTGTGAGGCATGGCCTCTGCCCTTGCGTGATGACGCGCGCACACACGCACACACACACACACACACACACACACACACACACACACACACACACACACACACACACACACACACACACAGGCCCCAGCTGGAGGGGCTAGAAGGTGTTGACAGAGAAAAAGGCCCTGCTGCTCCACTGATTACATTCAGGAGCTGTTTATTGCCCTCTTTGCCATCTCATACATCCTACATCCTCTCTCAGTACTTGAGATTTTATTATTTACAATTTTATTATTTTCTTTGATAGTTTTTTTTAAATCGCAACAACAAACTGATACACACACAGCCACACAGAATGTTATGCAGCTGCTCCTCTTTTAGCAGTAATGATTCTCCTAAATACACCAGCTGCTTTTCAATTACTGCTCTTCTAGGTGTGTGTGCGTGTGTGCGCGTGTGTGCGCGCGCGCAATGAGGGATAGTTGAAGGTCCAGTCAGACCCAGGGTCAGACTGGCTGATTAATTACCTACCCCCCTACACACACAGAGAGCTAGTGTCAGTGTGTTGACAGAGTGAAGAGGCGGGCTTCATTCCCATCATAATCACAGTGTAATTACTTTGCATTACTGCAGGTTTATCTCTAATCCACCACAGAACGTCATCAACTAAAGGTGTCTTGTTTATATCACTATGCATTGAACGTGCTTTTACTATCTCACAGAATTATGACATTACACTTTTTATTAGCAACAGAATTGGTTTCAAATGAACCTGCAGGACACAGCGTTTACTAATTATATGCTCATTTGTGTCAACAGCTGTATTTACTTGATTTTTTTTTTCTTCTTTTTTTTTTAAATGCGCGGATTCTCTCTTAATTACATGCGCTTGTCCCAAGCATCACCCAAGTGTTTTTTGCGGTACGCAGACTACTACCCCCCACCCCTTGGACGGTCCGTTTGCGTCGACTGCATAAGAAAACCACAATATTTTCTTCTTACTTGTGTTTATATAGTTTGTTTTGTTTCTTTTTCTGATGTAGACTGGCAGGATGTGGGGCTGATGCGGGACATTGAGGCTACAACTGGGGAAAACCTGGGATCCGACAGGGTTGGTAAAAAGAGAAAAGGGAGGAAGAAGAAGTATCCTAACCTCAGCGACCTGAAGCACAGCGCCAACACAGCCCGCTCCAGGCTGGAGAAAAAAGTCCTCAATAAGTACGTCGACAGCAGCAGCATCCTCTAAAAGCTCTGAAACACTGTTGTATATTTTTACTTAAGTTTTGCAGTGCAATAATTTCAATAAGTCCATAAGTCCCTACCAAAGCATCGTCTCATTCAATTCAATGAGAAGATGTGTCCAAACTTTTGACTGGTACTATATTTGCGTTGTTAGTGTTTTCCCACCAGAGTTGGCACTGCAGTTCTCAGAACATAGGATGCCATGTATCCTCAGCAAAAGATGTTGCCTTCAGCGATTGATCTTTTTTTAGTTTTCTTCAATCACTTGCAAATTCTTCTCATTTCGTGTTTGCCTGTAATTCACTCATTCTGTCCTTCTTTCCAGGAGCAGCATACGCAGAATAGCTGAAGTGATGGCTAAATCTGACCAGAGAAAACATGACAAGTTCTCCAACCAATTTAACTACGCCCTCCAGTGACCTTCATCCAGCTGCTGAACATTGCTGTTTTTTCAACTTTTGAATTTGAATGGAACAATTTTTTATATATATGTAATTTCAGCCAGACATCAAGAACAAATTAACATTTTATATTCCTGACTGAGTGTGTGCTTCCTCTATTGACCATGTGACAATTCACCTTAGCAAAGAAACCTAAAGGAGAAATGTACACACGCTAAATCTGAGGGAATGAGCGGATCTCATACCTGGTGTGGATAGGCACTGCTGTTTCAAAGCTAAAAAAAATACACAGAAAGGCACTTCTTTTTCTCACTATAATGTCAATACAAATAATATGTAAAAGATGATAAAAGTGAGGAAAATAATAATGATAAAAAGGTTGGACGTCAGGGAAGCGGATAGTTGATTATGGTTGATTAAATCTCAAAATGCCAAATGCCATCTCACAGCGAGAAGTTGAGGCCAACATCAAAAAGATAAAACCATCCACCAGTGCCCTGGACCCCTTCCCCACAGCCCTGGTAAAATCCAACCTCCATGCCATAAGTCCACTCATCACAAAGGTTATTAACCACTCCCTCCGGGCTGGCCATGTTCCATCAACACTGAAAACCGCTGTCATCAGGCCATTTCTCAAAAATCCCACCCAAGACCCAGAAGTCTTTGCCAACTACAGGCCCATCTCCAACCTTCCATTCCTTTCCAAGGTGCTGGAAAAAGTAGTTGCCGCACAGCTTCAGGACCATCTAAAACAAAACAACCTGTTTGAGAAATTTCAATCTGGTTTCTGCCCTGGCCACAGCACAGAAACAGCCCTGGTCAGGGTCACAAATGACCTACTGATGACTGCAGACGCTGGCTCCCCATCTCTTCTCATCCTCCTGGACTTGACTGCAGCATTCAATACTCTGGACCACAACATCCTCCTCCACCGTCTACATTCCACTATCGGTTTTTCTGACTTCGTCCATGAGTGGTTCTCATCCTACCTCACCGGGAGAACTGAGCATGTCGCCTTGGGAGAGGCTAAATCCCTTACACACAATGTCACCTGTGGTGTCCCTCAAGGCTCAGTGCTCGGTCCCACCCTGTTCATTATCTACATGCTCCCCCTTGGCCATGTCATCAGCCGGCATGGAATTTCATTCCACTGCTATGCTGATGACACTCAACTCTACCTCAGGACAAACCCAACCCCCTCTGCTGCCCTGCCATCATCCACTCTGACCACCTGCCTGGAGGAGATAAAGGCGTGGATGAAGCAAAACTTTCTTTAGCTAAACAGCTCCAAGACTGAAGCCATCTTAGTCGGCACTCCACACCAGGTTCGGTCATCTGACATTACCAGCATCACCTTCTCCGGCCAAAATATTCCACTTTCAACATCAGCCACCAACCTAGGTGTTAAAATGGACTCCCATCTGACCTTTGAGGCTCACATCAAACATCTCTGCAAGATCTTCTTCCACCTCAGGAACATCGCCAAACTCCGTCCCACACTCACTTCTGCAGATGCGGAAAAGCTTGTCCACGCTTTTGTCTCCTCCAGGCTGGACTATTGCAATGCGCTCCTCACCGGGATCCCTGAGAAAAGCCTTCAGAAATTGCAGTACATCCAGAACAGCGCCGCTAGGATCCTGTTGAGGGTGCGCAAACATGACCACATCATCCCCATCCTAAAATCACTCCACTGGCTTCCTGTCTCACTCGGGGTTGAGTATGCCCCATATCCATGGTGAAGCCCCCCCCCTACCTCAAGGAACTCCTCACCCCACAGACCTCAACACGTACCCTCCGGTCTGCCTCAGCATATCTTTTGAAACCTCCCAGGACAAAGCTCCGTACAATGGGAGATCGAGCTTTCTGCTCAGCTGCTCCCAGTCTGTGGAATGCTCTCCCTGATCACCTGAGGAGACCACAGACTGTGGATGCTTTTAGACGTGGCCTAAAAACCCACCTTTTTAGGAGAGACATTACTCGTCTAACTCGTCCCCTTTTTCTTTTTTTTCAAACTCTCCATGTGTTTTTATTGTTAGCACTTACCTGTTTTATCATGTAACACTTTTGGATTTGCTTAAATATAAAGTGCATTACAAATTAAATGTATTATTATTAAACGATATCACTGTTAGTAGTCTCATTGAGCCACTTGTTAGCAACCACCGTTTTGAAGACTAATACAGCAAATTTAAAGTCTACACGTTTATTTACCATCAATCATAATTCAGGCAAGCCAAATACCCATTCAAAAATCACTTTAAAACGAGATAACCAAAAGTTCAACAAATATTGACTATTTTCCAGGGATTAAGACTTATTAACTTATTAGCTTATTAACAATAGACTTGCCCTAAAATAAACAATGTTTGTTTCATGTCATAGGCTTGTTACAGACTGTCTCCTTGAAATGTGTAGTTGCCAAGCCCAAACTGTAATGGCCCTTATGACATCATCAGGATTGTTTTCTTGCACTTGGCAAAAATTTTCTAGAGCCACAGGTTTAACTGTCATTCAAACAGTTTTTATTGCAGATGTTTAAAGATGTATGAACTGGATACTGCGTTAGATCAAAGCCCTGTTCATTTCTTTGGAAGTTTGGAGTATGAAGAAGAAAAAAAAGAAATATTCTTGATATAAAATAACCTGGATCTTCTGCATCAACATGAGGCATACAGCGAGCACACCACCTAGTCTTAAAGTTTGAAGATGCGTAAATACTGTTCATGTCTTACTGCTAGTGCTACTACGGTTCTGTGGGAACAGAGAAAATTGATAAATTACTGCCAAAGTAACCACGATTCCAGCAATAGGAAGCCGGGGGTCCCAGATCTGATTCCAGGTGGCAGCCTGTGGTTCTGAAAAATGGCAATGTTGAAGTGATAAACTTTCCCTTTATGTTTAAGTCATCAGGGGGTGATCCTCCAGTTATAATTGTAACAAATCAAATGGAAGTCAATGAGAACATGACTACTTCTCTCTTGACATATGTATGGTCTCAATCTCTAGTTTAGTCTAAGACTTAGTTTAAGACTAATTCAATACAGCATGATGTTTATTTAGTAAATTATGGTTAATTTAGGGCGGCACGATGGTGTGGTGGTTGGCACTGTCGCCTCACAGCAAGAAGGTCCTGGCTTGACTCCGCCCACTGGCCTTTCTGTGTGGAGTCTGCATGTTCTCCCCGTGTCTGCGTGGGTTCTCTCCGGGTACTCCGGCTACTTCCCACAGTCCAAAGACATGCACTGGGGATTAGGTTGATTGGTGAGTGTGAATGGTGGTTTGTCTCCGTGTTAGACCTGCGATTGGCTGGCGACCAAACCAGGTTGTACCCAGTCTATCGCCCGAAGTTGGCTGGGATAGACTCCAGCCCCCCCGTGACCCTGTGTGCAGGATAAGCGGTTGGCAGATGGATGGATGGATGATTAATTTACAATCAAACAGACCATGAAGCGGGTATACCTTATGGTGGGGCTACATGCTGATTGACAGGTCTCTACCATGGCATTGTCCCAGATTTTTGACCCTTTTGTTTTTACAGTCCATGTAATTCAGTTTCACTGTGTAGCAACAAGTCCGAAAAGCCTTCTGCAGCAGCACACTATTGTCCTGCAATGTAGTCACCATTGCTACAAAGTGTCATCTGTGCTGCAGGCTACATCTCTGACTAAACACCCCTCTAGCCAGCCAAATCGCTACCTCTCCCTCCAGCGTTGTTTCCATCCGATTGCATTGCTCCTGCCGCCTAGACCCTTGTGCCTGCCTGTTTCCTCCGGGCACGGATTCAGCGCTTCCTTTTTTAAATCCCTCTGCTGCCGAAATAAAATCTTTTTTATCCTCGGAATCCTGCTTTTGAGTCCTACCTTTGTTTTACCCACCTGTTTTTTTCCTTACTGTGAAAGGTTCAAATTAGCATTCTCTCCCAAGACAAATTACTCTGCAATAGTCACAGGTATTTATTGGCTTTAGTTCTGAATGGCAGTTATGAAAATAGGACAACTGGATGAACAAGCTAATTAAGTTTGTCTACCCCTTTCTTGTTCCTCTGTGCCACATATTCTGTCCGTCCCAGTCTGAGCAGCGCCAGATTAGTTGCCATTGTGTCTTTGGAAAGACTTTTTCAAAGATAAATATAAAAAGTAAATATAACCCACAAAATGTTCACTGGCCTGGCCACTGCTTTCTACCGTTTACTTACTTACCATTTTCCAGCACGTTGAATGTTGGAAGAGGGTAAAAAATGTCTTATTTGGTCTGTTCAGGCCTACATGGGACTCGTACATTCCCAGGGAAAACACCTTCAATAAGAGGCAGGATGTCTGGATGTGAAAGAAACCAACACAGACGGGGAACACCGAGTTTGAACCGAGGACCTTCCTGCTGTGAGGACACTGGGACACCACGTTGTCATGTTGAATTAGAATGAGGTCACAAAGCTAGTTTTTCAGTTTAATAGTCATTATTTTAATATTAAAGGACAATATCATGTTGAGCTGAGGATTCAGTAGCTCCAAGAATTTCATGGAAACTGTCTATGAATTCAATAAATAACAGAAATGAAAACAATCACAGCTGAGGTTACATACTACTGACAATAGATCAAGCCATTCCTTAAGTCATAAATAAACATGTAATATTCATACAAACTTTAAAAAAAAAAACAATTAATCAACTACTACGTAGGTTAAAACAGCATTCGGAATAGGGAGCTGGATAATAAATTCATATACATATACAGTTTCTGGCAGATATTCACATTCTATCAAAATAATCCGTTGAAATTAAAGCCTTCAAATGGTAGTAGAAAGGGAAGCAGAGCTGAACACTGACAGTCTGTCTGCTTAAACGTTTCAGTCTCCATGGCCTTTGAGCGTGTTTCTGTGGATGAGTCTGTGTGTCTACAAGTGTGTGCTGTAGAAGGCCGGTGCAGCGTAGCTCTGTGTCCCCAACATGAAAGGGGACAGGACGTGGCTTGCGGTGAGGAAAGGCAGCTGGACCAGGCTGCCGGTGGGGGGGTGATGGTGGCTGGCGTAACCAGCATGCATAGCCAGGTGCCCACCAATCGGAGGGGACGGGCTAAGAGGGCTAAGGCTTCCCAGACCTCCCCCTCCTCCTCCTACACCTCCTGCTCCTCCTGTCCCGGTAGGGGCGGAGGTGTCTGCTCCGGGGTTCTGTTTCTTCCATTTGGTTCGACGATTCTGGAACCAAATCTTGACCTGGGTCTCAGTGAGGGAGAGAGACAGGGCCAGGTTGAGCCGCTCACAAACTGACAGATAGCGCGTTGACTTGAACTTGTTCTCCAGCGCCACTAGCTGCTCGTAGGTGAAGGCAGTCCGGGCCCTACGGGGCTTCCCTGACTTGGAGTCCGAGCCAGAGCGTTTCCTCTTGGGTTTGCCCTGCGTGCCCTGTGCACCATTGGCCTGGATATCGGTGATCTGGCCTGTTGGGCTTCCTCCGGGGCTCTTGGTGTCTCTGCCAGGGTCCTGGTGGCTATGCTGGCCCAGATCTCTCTCTCCGTTACTGGGAAGGGCTGGGCTGCTCTCCTCACTGCTGTAGGGCTGGTCTGGAGCCTCTGAATCTGGGGTCCCAGATCTGTGGTATTCATCCACATCTTGGCTTCTGTATACAAAGCCTTCCTCTGGAAATACACACAAAACAAAGATAACGTAAAATTAACATTCACCAAAGGACCTAAAGGATCACAATAGTGTCACTATGAAGCAAGAATAATCAGATTTACATGTGCATTGCTGCCATTCCTCCAATGTCAGATAACAGCCTCAACAAAACTACTGAACAAACGTGAAATGGCATTTGTGACACGCAAGTTGAGTTAGACATTTCTCTCCAAACCTGTGGCTATATTAACCCAAATAATGCCCCTAAGGGCAATTTGGACGGGTTTGTTTCATAAGATGTTGACAGGACCACTAACCGGCTCCAGGTTTGTATTTGTGTTACACTAGTATTGTAAAGGGAAGTTGTAATTTAAATCAAACACAGCTATGCATTATGTCAGTATAATATCTACCGAAATAATGCCAATGTTAAATCCAATCTATGAAACAAGGGCCATCCTAACAAGAAGGCTCCATCATCAAGCTTTAGTGGTTTTTATTACCAAATACATCAGATTACCATTAGATTATTATTATTACCACAATAAATCTGTGTGAATTAGTGATCCTGGGACCTTCAGGGTTTCCTAGGTTCCCCAAGGCACCCTAAGGTTTTTCCGTTTGCCAGCTGGTAATCCAGTCTTGCCTTGTGTGTAATGGCAAAATGTATATTGGGATAACACTTATGATTAAAGTATTATGGTTGATTGAAAAAAACAGAACACAAAATACTAAACAGTAATAAAAATGTGATTAACATGCAGCGACAATAAAGATCACTGAGGTTAATGTTAATCACATTTTTATTACTGTTTAGTATTTTTTTTTGTATTTTCACTTTATGACTAATTAGATCATTTAAACACTGATCATTCAAACTTTTAAAAATAGTGCCAGAGGAATTAATCACACAATATGTCCAAGTAAGTAAAAATGAAATGATCTATGCCTGGTTTAAACCAAACATTAGGAGGTTATACAATTAACATTTGACTTTATTCAGCAAGCCGCAGCCGTCAAAGTATACACCTTTCAGCTGGAATAGTATTTTGATAAATAGTAAATGATCTGTGCCTGTATATAGTTTTTCCACCACTCAGATTTCTTCAACACTTTCACGTCAGCATTCACACATTCTCACCGATTCATACACTGATGACAGAAGCTACCACGCACGGTACCTCCGACCCATCAGGACTATCGGAAATAACATATACACGAGCTGCAACTAAAATGTATGACCTTATTATTTCAATTTTTGTTATGTTTTGGTATTTTACCAAACAAATTTCAATCACTGTAAATGTGAATATAAATTTAAGTAAACAGATTCAAGGCCCTTGATGATCTAGTCTAGCTCACATGTCTAGAAGGATATGTCTAAAGTGTTGCAGAAAATACTTCTTTTTTTAAATTGTAATATATGGACCTATTGCACTTGCATAATTATGTTTCTATTACCAAAAAATGCATTTGTTGCACTCTGAAAATCCATTGTGAGCATGTGTCATATTTAGGATTAAAATACAACTGAATTTTTTTAATGTATACAATTTAAAACATTCTGGTTAAGTTGCTGGAATGGAAAACATGTTAATGTGTTTTTTAGATGAAAGAAGTCAAGATTGTCCACCCACAAATTGGAATTGTTTCCATCAAGAAAGAATAGAAAAAGTAATTATGACAGTCCAGGTTGATGAGGAAATGGAAACGTTATTTCAGGTGTTTGTTTAGTTCAAAATGAATGTTTTTTAAATAATACCTGATTAGTCCATTCTTTACAATTGCCTCTTAATTATCTAATAGCTCTTCAGGCTATCCTCAATAAAAAAAATTGAGTTAACTATTGGGTCAAACATGCTGTTATTTAATATTTGTTATATATATTATTATATATATATTATAATTGGAGTAATTATGAATCTAGAACTCATATAAAATTATGTATTTGATTTTTAGATATGTCTACAATGATACGGGTTTAAATAGTCAGCAATATGTAATATATAGAATTATAGCATATTATAATACTTTTACTGAAAAATACATTCAAATTCAAATGATTTGTTAGTTAGTCTTACTCATAAAGTCTTACTTATGTAATTACCAAATGGGCCTACTGGACATTTTTTAACAGTAGAGAAAAATTGGAAAACGTAATGACTACTTTGAAACATGAAAATATTGATCTCTGGATTTTTCTTCTAAACGCTTTGCAGTATTTTCTGCAATATTTCAGATTACGTTGGAAAGTTAAAGCTTTTGTAACCTTTTTAATCTTTAAATTCAAGTGCTGATAACTTTAATACAATAAAAAGTCATAATACAAATATTATGTTTAAATAACCAAAAGTCTTCAAAAAGGTTCAAATATCTTGAGGTTACGATTGAAACTAAAGAGATAAACATTAAAACGTGTATTAAACATTATCAGCATGTCAGTCGTCCATAGATTCCGTGAGCCATTTGGACATACCGCTGTATGATCAGCACGTAACCAACAAGCCACAACTGAAGCGTGCACGGAACTCAACGGCGCTGCTCGTCCGGTATCCGCAGTTCGGTTGGCGTTTATGGAGAGGGGCTTGGGTCTCCGTGTTTTATCGGGCCAGACCAATCAGATATTAGTCAAAAGTTTCGATGTGAAATTGTATGATTAGTTGAATCAACTGGGATACAAAGAAATAACATATTTTGTATGTAGACTTAGGAGATATTTGCCGCGGGTTTGTGTCCGAGCCATTATCGTTCACTCTGGACTTAGACTGTTCAGAATACCTACCGATAAACAAATACGCATATTGGCTGACACTTATTTCGTAAAGGCAGTATTCACGCAAACCATTAAATAATTCCTTAATATGTAACGTTAGATAAAAAAGGTGTTAGGTGAACAAATGTCACGCAAAAGTATACCGTCGAAAGAAAGAAAAATGCATGAAAAATGTCTACTTCGATTTCCTGAACTTTGGAACAGATTTTACCCACAATTAAAAGGAAAGTAAATACTGACTGAATGGAGTGATTAAATAAACCAACACGTGCAGCTTAATGGGCTAATTGTAAAGAAGTCATGTAAAGGCAGTTTGAAGGAAAAAAGAAGAGGGCACTACTTAAAAAGGAAAACACACCATATTAAGGAGGCTGGCTTTAAAGGTTAATTCCGTGTAAACTCAGACTCACTGCTCGGGTATTCCTCCGCACCGTAGAAGGCTTTGCCGGGCTCCAGGCCGGGCTCGCGCTCTCCAGATGTTGCTTTTCGATTCTCCACTCCATACGCGCTCAGCTGGCGCTCACCTCGGTGGCTCGCGTGCTGCTGCTGTCGTCGGCTGCTCGTGAACTTGTTGGGGTCCAGAATGTCCAGTACGGAGAAAGAGGTGGTCCGGTGCCCGGCAGGGCCCTGGCAAATAACACATGGGAATTATTAATTCACAATTGAAATGACATTTAATAGCTCGATGTTTTTCTTTGAGTGTTTGTATTTATTCTCACCCCAAATCATGTGATCGCGCAGTGAATTTGTAAAATGTCGAGATTTTTTATATGTTAAGGTTATTTCAAATTGAGTTATGTTAATAATTTGCAACAAATTCCAGAAGGAGTTCAATCATATCAAATAATACTAATAATACGCATAATAAAAAATAAAATGAAAAATAAATAAAATAATAAATACAAATAAAATAAAAATAATAAATATTCGTAAAATACGGTTATTACATTAATCTCATGTGTATTGAAGGGTTACGATTTTCTAGCAGACGTATAAGAACAGTACATCACAGCTGAACTGTCTTTTTTTCAAAACGCAAACCCCCACAACGTGAGCACAAATCAAATATTTCCCATATCCATTATATTGCGGTCAATTGGGTATCAACGTGAATAAATCAATATGTTATACTCGTCTAGAGTAACCTATATTCTTATCATTTCGGATGAAAAAAGTATTATTTTTGAATTTAATGCAAGCATCAATTTATGGTTTTCATAAAATGCCCAATACTTATCTAATCGACATCAGTTTGACCTCCAGTCCTAGTTTGGACACTTTTTCTCATTCAATTCAATGGAGAGCATGTGTTCAGACTTTTTTACTGATATGTACACACTGGGATACAGATTTGTTCACCTAATTTATATCTATAAGATTTATCTGCAGCCCAAAAGGTGTTCAACATATAGGCATATACAAGATGGTGATGTGGCTTAGGGCTTTCCACTGCACTACATCCCGGTTTTGATCACTCATTTATTAATGAGGCCGGTCTGGAGCATGTCGACATGAATAACCCCATATTATTAATATTATAATTCGTTTTTTGAATAATCAGAGGGAGCATGCAGGTAGGACCCATGGGCCTATTAGCATCTGATAACCAGAATAATCAAACAACACAATCACGCTGCGATTAGTAAAGACAAATCCTCTATTTAAGATACCGAAGAGATTCCACAAACCTGCATTGTAATTTACCCCTGTGAAATGTAATCTAGTCACATGGGTCTCAATGTGAGGGATTTTTCGGGAACTCACCACTTTTTTAATTTAACATTTTATAAAGTAATAGCTGGTGTAATTTTTGATTATTTGTAAAACCATGTATAGATTACAATGTAATGTCATGGTGTTTATATGCTGGAGTTCCGACTAAATCACATAATTCTGAAATGGTAGAATGTGTATGTTTTCCTTTTGTTTTAAAGACTCGAGAAAACACAGTAGAATACAAAGATAAACTAGTCCATTTCACGGTAAACTCTCTAGGGAAACGCATCTGATCTGAAGATGTAGCTGTCGTTTATTAGTGTCGTTTCCAGTCCCATTGACGCAGCAAATTGGCTCTTCATTTCACCACTATGTCTTAATTACCCCCCCCCCCTCCTCCCGTCCCCGTCTTCCCCGTCCCCGCGCTTAAAAAAGGTATAGACAACGCTATCACTATTATTAATATTATATAAAATAATGTTGTGTCCCTGGCATCTACCTGCTGTGGCGGGGCTAACACTGGGTTAGTCGGTATGGGTTCTAAGTGGTTCTCCACGGCCTCAGCATCTCTGCCTCCCGCCACCGCATTGGAGAAGAGCCGCATCTCCCCGGCAGCGCCGCCGTCGAGCATGTCTACGCTGTCCGGGCCCACCACGGTCTGGACCCCGTCACCACCGGGAGCCGGTACCGGTCTGTCCCGACTCATCACGGGCTGAACAGTGTCCACCCCGGTCCCTGCTACGGCTCTGTCCCGGTTTATCACAGTCTGGACCCCGTCTTCCCCGGGCCCGGATACCGCTCTGTCCCGGTTCATCACTTTAATCTCCTTGTCCCATATATTAGGAATCCGATCTAATATAAAGTAATGGTTAAAAAATAAAAAATGAAAAATTCAGATCAAACCGTTTAAAGGGCCACGGCTATTTTGCTGTGAAGAGAATAAGTTCACCCCACGGGCCGGCTCGGGAGTCCCATCCACATCCACAGTGAGATGATGTGTTCGGCCCTTTTACTTGTCCGGAGGTGAGACTCTTTAACTGGATCCCGTCAAACTTTCAACTTCTTCTCTGCGCATCCTTTTCTTCATCACACACAACATCTCCGGTTGTCTAATGTCCTCCGATCCCGTACGGCGCCGTTCTCCCGCCTTGTCACTGACACACGTGAACAGCGACCGGCGTCCCGACCTCCAGCCTCGCGCGCTCTGTCTGGTCACCGTAAAGCGTTGAAGGCGGGACGGACACTGGTCTACCTCTCCCCCTCTGTGTCTCTTCCTATTAGCTAAGCCTCCTCTCCCCCTCCCTGCGAGCTCTCCCTCTCTCTCCTCTAGCTCGTGCAGCTCTCGCCGTCTTTTCAGGCTTTTAGCGGCCCCCCTCCGAGGACACGCTATTACACACCCCCATGTATCTGTGTGCGTTAGCGCGCAGGGGTCCACCTCCCTCCTTATTCACGCATTTCTATTCATGAGTTGTATTTGATATACTTTTTGTAATTACGAGTTATAATTGGCTATAAATAAATCCCACTTATTTTATCTTGGGGCTGCGCGGGTGTTCCATCTCCCTCCGATATCCGAACACGAGCAGAACCAGAGAGTAGTCTTCTCATTTTGCTTATACACACAGAAGTAACATGTTAGCATTTGTAAGCTAGTCCGATGTAGCCGATGCAGGTTTTCAGGTAGTTACTGCAGTCAGTCAGAAGTTCTGATGATAGCATTAGTGTTAACTATACTGCAAGGTTAACTGGCGTGCACCGTAATTGATGTGTGGCAGATATGTAATGTGTCCCCGCCCTCAGCTTTAGTTGTGCATCCACATCAAAGGAGCCCTTATCTTTAATGCAGATTCCTCGGCAAGGCCTCTCCTCAAAACTCAATTACGGCCTGAATAAAGCCGGTAATGTCCCCGCTGCAGTGAAATATTGATTCCTAATCCTTGGCAGTCATTACTATGCCAGAAAATAATAGACCACAGAATTGGATTTTGATTTAACACACAACGTGTTTATTCTAATGCAAGGGACTTAATATTCCGTTGACTCTAATGTTCAGCTAACAGAAGAGGGAATAGTGATGTTGGAGGCTCTGAGGGCACACTTTTCATATTGTTGTGTAAGAAATTAGAAAAAGAAAGAGAGGTGATGGGACATCTGTCCTGTCCTCCTCCCTGGCCAAATACACGAGGTCAGCTCCATGTAATTGCCTTGCTCAATGATCCTTAAGAGGAAGAAATTAAAAGTTGAGAAAAATAATGACGGAAACAATGAGACATGATTAGCCAATCAGAGACTTAAACCCATTGCAGCGGGCCTGTGATCTACTTCCGGCTTTATTGTTTTATTTTAAAGCAGTCAACATATTAACCAGATTTTAAAATATTACGGCAGCTAACTCACCTTGGTAGAAATTTGTATTTAATCTAAGAGGGAAGAAAACAACAAAGCACCGCAAGCAACACACTGCAAAAGGAACATGAAACATAGAAGAGGTGTAAAGTAGCAACAAAAAAACAATATTACTATTTTTTCAGAAATAGGTAAGCTAAAGCAAGAATACCACTAACACTGAAAAACGATAATTATATACCGTGACTAATTATATTAACAAATATTGCCAATAAGCTAACTGATGAATAACAAGCTAATAATATAAACACCACCGATAACAAAACAAACTGTTAAGGTACAGTATTGGATATCAACATCTGCAGTAAAATGGCATAATATATTTCTGTGTGTGTGTATAAAACATTAAGCCTTAAACACACACACACACACACACACACACACACACACACACACACACGCGCGTATATTCGTTTCTGTCAGAATGTTTTGAGGGGCAAAGCGATTCTGGTTCCCACAGTGTGTGAGAGAAGACAGGAAGTGGTAATATTCTCCCTCTGACAAGTCAGCGTCTGTGTGTATGTGCGCATGTATGTGTGCATGTGTTTGATTTGATTGAGCCCGTGTGTGTCTTGTGTGTGTAATCATTCTAATGAAGGTTAACGAGCTCAGCCCAGCCCCCTCTTTATTAAATTAATCTCAGACAGTAATGAATCCTAATTACTATAATTAGCAGCTTGAGCTGCCTGATCTCACACTAGTGGCTGGTCAGGCTGAGGCGATGTTTCCGAGGCTTCAACCTTCATGTCCTCATTTCTTTGCCGTCTCCACTGTCTCTGTGTCTGCTGGATTTGAACACATATCGTTTCCACAATGAACATTTAAACGGTCTTGTTGAGTGTCCTTGACTAACATGATGTACAATTGTTCTTATAGCATAACGATCAATGTTTCATAGGATGGATTCTGTGACACAGTTCTCTCTAATTATTGACATTAATATTCACTTTTGCGTAAAGAATACTTCCCATTATTGATATTCCATGGTCTAATCTAGTAACTCAAAAAACTAAAAGATGCAGTATTGTATATTGTGTGTGTGTGTGTGTGTGTGTGTGTGTGTGTGTGTGTGTGTGTTTTGTGCATGTTCCTGTGTGTGTGCATATAGATAATAATCTTTTCTTATTTCTGTAGCATATTCGAATCCTGCCAGCATCATTACACACAGCAGTCACAATAATCTTCCTCTGGAAAACCTTATATAACAGCTACAGCTAAATTATAAATGTCTGACAATTGAGTGAGTCAGTGTGTATACGTGCTTATAAGTTTGACAATAAATAGTGAAAGCAAACACTGAATACTTTTAAGTAGATTTCTTTTTCCAAAAAATTGACACGAAAGGCACCAACAAAACTACAAAACAGATAGCTGTGCTAAACCTTTTGCATTTGCAGTCCTCATCAGTATTGCTTTTTTATTGTTTAAAATATGGTTCAAACTATTACCTATAACCGTCCGAGACTCAACCCTTGTCTCCCTCTGGTTTTCATCTGTCCCTCTGCAGTTTATCATCCCTTCTATTTTTCTATTTAGTGTCTTTTCAAGGTTCTATATTTTGGATTAGCAGTCTTCCTCCTCTCACCTTTCACCATTTCAGGAGTAATAGCCCCTCATCCTCTTCTAACACACACACACACACACACACACACACACACACACACACACACACACACACATGCCAACAATTTGACACCCAGATAACATCTGACCCGAAGAATTAATTAAATATGATAGCTGATTAAAAATAGCATAACTAATAGTGTAATATCTCAAGCTGTCGTCTTTAATAGTCAACATTGTGTGTGTGTGTCTTATCTACTGCAGACAGACGCTCTTGCTATTGATTCCTGTTCATTTCAGTTGTCAGGCAGACCACTCAGCTCATCTGGAATCATTAAACCCTACTGCCTGCTGTTTCTGTGTGTGTGTGTGTGTGTGTGTGTGTGTGTGTGTGTGTGTGTGTGTGTGTGTGTGTCTTTCCGTCTCTTTCTACTTTTATCCTTCCATTTGTTACTATTTTCAATTCCAGCTCTTTTAAAAAAAAGAAGTGGTGTGAAGATTTGGTGGCTGCATTGCAACCAGGCAATATTACACCAAATGATTGGCTACCTTTACAAACAAATAAAAACATTCATTCATTGAATGTTAGAATTTTTAAAAATGTGACAAGCTGTTTAAATGACTTTGTGAGCCTATAAAAAACATATTATTCTATGTTTTTCTCACTGTTGACTATTAGAACCAAAATCTAAAAGAAACACATACCATAAAATGACCCAAACAAACCAGTTTGTCACTCAAAACCCTATGACTTTCATTCCCAGTCTGTGGTTCTCAGCCACAAGTTCCTACTGGAGATCCATTGAACCAATGCTTATTGTGTTTAATAGTTACAGCGATGACACATTAGTTAGCAAATTATCTGGACTTATTTGCATGACATATTTACTAACTCGTTGGGAGTTATGTTTGGAACATTTTCCAACGGGTAGGTAGATATTGTAGCCAAGACCCTAATGTTTCGAACGGTGTGAAAAATTAATATATTTATTAATTGATAGATACTTGGGTGGATGTAAGTGATGGATTCATGGATGCATAGATGGGTGACTGGACGAGATGGATGAATGGGTGAGTGGGTGGAGGGGGGAAGGGATGGATGAATGGATAAACGTTTTCCCTCCACCACATGTTCCTCGCCTTGCAGGCACACCATATTTATAAGTTCAGCAGGTCTGTTTGGCTGATTTGCATACACAGATACACATTTTGGTCAGGGTTGAGTACCTTTAACTGGTTGTCAACATTTGTTTTTTTAATATTTAAAAACAAGGCCAAAGTGTGGTTCTGGTTGATCTAACAAACAATGAAAAACTGCTGACCAGGCACTGTGCTTACATGCACACAAAACACACACACACACACACACACACACACACAGATGACCAGCAGATCAATATTAAGCAGCTATCATACACCTAACAATGCACGACATAAGGGCAACCAATCATCACAGCTTAGAAATGCCTATATATTATTTTCTAATAATATGCTTAATGAATGAATCATTTATCAGCTCCTCCATTATCACATATTGTAAATATTGCGGGCACAAAGTAAAACAAAGTGGCATGGAACTGAAGTTGCTGTTTGGTTGTGTCTTAGAGTAGAATGCGGATGAGCTCGCACTCAACAGTCAATTTTCCCTCACTGCCACCATTACAGCTTCTCATTCAGAAGGTAGAGCAGGGTCTGGTTCTGGCTCTGGTCATCTCACGCCTCAACTATTGTAACCACCTCCCAGCAGGTCGACCTCCTCCCAGCACCATACAATTTCTGCAGCTCATCCAGAATGAAGCAACTTGACTAAATTTAAATTCACCTACACCACTGCGCTGCGCTCCCATCACTAGTTACCAGCTGTAACAATGTTTCAAAACATTGGTACTTAAATACAGTCGGACGCAACAGGTCAGGTCCAGTCTACATCCAAAACATGGTCGAACATTAAGTCCCTGCTTGCTCACTCTACTCTGCATCTACCAATCTGCTTGTTACTCCCTCATAGAGAGCTCCCGACTGTTTGCTGTCCTGGCTCCTAAATAGTATCACACACTTCTACTGACTACCTGGACTAGGTAGCACTTTATTATCACTTATGATGGCACTTACTTATTGCACTTTGTAGTTTTTCTTTTTTGGAGAAATTGTGCTTTGTTTATTCTTGTTGTTCTGGGTCTGTTACCTTTTGGTTGAATGCACTTATTGTGCAAGTCACTTCGGATAAAAAAGTATCAGCTAAATGAAAGTGTAACGTGAGTGTAAATGTATGCATCTGAGTATCAGAGGAACAGTAAATTCAACTACACAGGAGCAGTGCAAT